AGAGTTTTTATGTACAGCTTGCATAAGATAATTATATTAAAATGTAACATATTGATGGATTTAAAAGAATAGAACAGAAAAAAGTTCTTTCATGTCAGTATGTTTTTAGATTTAGAATGGAGATTGAATAGAGAAATTAATTCAATGGTTTCAGCAATGCACATATCTGTACATTACAAATACTGGTCTTTCAACCATAAATCCTTGTAAGTAAGACTATTTATGTTTAGATTTATTTCCATGTAAGGATCACAGCCTATGAAACTGAAATGTACATACGAATTTAATTTTGCCGAGTTTAAAAATGTGTTATTTGTGAATGCAATGCTGTATTTAAGGTTTAAAACATAAATAAAATTACAATTCATAAATGTACTAACATTTTTAGTGAAATTAGTTGGTGCATCTGCAAGAAAGTTAAAATACATCTCATTGAGGGAGGACGTAAGAATACAGTACAGTCTTTATTTCTCAATTATTTCAATGGACTAAGTGCTCTCAGCTTCTGAAGTGTATCTGTAATGACTGTGGTGATTCCAAAATCTAGGCAGAACAAATTAATGCAGTCATTCAGTGTTTGTCCACTCTTATAGACTGGAATAGATTTCAGGTTTCTTGGATCAAGTTTGGTTTTGGTTTTCAATAGAACCCCAAGACCTACAAACTGGAACCATGTGCAGAAGACAGTTGGAATTAAAGAACAGGGGGCCTCTGAGCACACTCTGAGCCTATGAACTTGGTGGACACATTTCAGCAGCCTAATTTAGCTAGAAAAAAGTAATTATGTTGCTGTTGTTCCTAACAAAAATAGGAGACCCTTGCTGATCAACTATTAATTGCCAGAAATCTAATTGCCAGTTGACCCTGATCTAAGTTCTCCTAATCTGTTAGACAAACATCTGTTTTATCCACTTCATCTGCGATATAGTCTTGCCCCCTTTTTGGAGAAAAGAGGTTTTGCCATGCTGATCCATGCTTTTGTAATCTCTAAAATGTATTGCTGAAGTGTGCTTCGTTGAAGGCTGTCCATGAAGATAAACCAGAAGCTTCAACAAGTGCATAATTCTGTTGCCCATCTCTTGGAAGAGGCTTACATTTGGGAATATATTCATCCTACAATGCAAAGACTAGACACCTTCTGGACTTAATTTAAGGTGGCTCTTTTAAAATCCCTTTATAGTCTGGCACCTACAGGTTTCTTAAAGTTTACCCCTCCCTAGATTAGCTGAGTTACTGCCTTAGCTATGCAAGGCTGTTCCTACTCCATGTGCACACATGTGAGGTGAAGATATACTTTTATCTTAATGATTTTGAGGCTGTAGAACAGGAGTCACTAACCTTTTTGGACCAGCGGGAAAATCTGGAATTTTGAGAAAGTGCCATGGGCACCACTCACAAAATGGCTGCTATGAGGGTGTATAGGAGAGGCCAAGACAGTGCAGACAGGGACTGAGCAGAAAGAGAAAATACTTTCTCAATTACTGAGGACTTTTGAGGAAATATTTCATTGTACCAGATGAGGTCCTGGTGGGCATACTGTTGGCCATGGATGCCATGCTGATGAACCCAAGAACAACCTATCTGATGAGATACTTTGGCCTTGTGTCCTATTTATTTATTTTATTTGCAACATTTACATCCTGCTTTTCTTCCATGGACCTCAAAGTAGGATACTTTAGTCCTCACCACAACTATGTGAACTAGGTCAGACTGAGTTTGCATGACCTGCCCAAGGTCATTAAGTGAGGCTTACGGCATAATAGGGTTTGAAACCTGAGTTCTCTCAGTCCTAGTCTGTGCTTAAACACTAAAACATACCTCTGGCAGAATGCTTATGGCCACAAAGTGGACACTGTGATGCTGCGTTCCTGCTGCTGCAGAGTCTACTGTACTGATTGTCATTTTAAACACTTATTGCTGGTTTTTATTCTTTTATTCTGCTGGGAGTCATCTCAAGTTTTCAATAAATGCTTTGAAATTAATATATTCATGAGGCAGAAGCTACAAATTAACATGCCTGGCTGTATCAAACAGGTCTTAAAGAAGTAGCTTGATCTCTTTGTGGGCTTATACAAAAACGTAATCTGGGTTACTAGTCATTCAGACTGGGGGTAAAATTCATTCCTCAAACATAATTCAGAGATAAATCTGTATTATACTGTGAACAAAACCCATCCACATATTTTGTTAGTGTATTATGTTGTTCGTCAGAGGGGATGTAGCATACATCTGAGTAAAGTCAGTTTGCTATTCATACACAAGTAATTATTTTTGAGTGGTACTCTGTTGTTCACACAACTGGATTCAGCACCCACCCTAATACAGTGGTACCTCAGGTTAAGTACTTAATTCGTTCCGGAGGTCCGTTCTTAACCTGAAAGTGTTCTTAACCTGAAGCACCACTTTAGCTAATGGGGCCTCCTGCCGCTGCTGCGCCACCGGAGCCCGATTTCTGTTCTCATCCTGAAGCAAAGTTCTTAACCTGAAGCACTATTTCTGGGTTAGCAGATTGTGTAACCTGAAGTGTATCTAACCTGAAGCGTATGTAACCCGAGGTACCACTGTACATTGTCTATTCTCCCTGCACCTCGAAATCTGAGGTACTCCTGAAAGTCAATGTGCAATTGAACAAGTGGAAGAAGGGCTCACAACTCAGGTTTATTTCTAAACAGCCCTTTACGTATATAGATCACAGGCTGGTTTACAAAGCAATCACGTAAAATATAATAAAAAACTAAAATCGTAGCTAAAGCATTTCCCCCAACAGAATACTTCCAGTAATTTAGTAAGAACCTAAATGTTCATGCCAGTCAGACACTCTCCCTTATCTTCAAAAAGTCTTAATGAATAAATTAAGCTGGTGCCAAAAAATAGTTACTGAGGGGGTTCATTGTAATTTTCAACAGTTGGGGTGCCATCACAGAGAAGGCCTTGCTTTGTGTCACCACACAACAGTGGGACTAAAAGTAAGGCCTCCATGTTGATCCCTGTTGAGCATTGCAGAAGTGCCCCTTTAAGTATTTGTGTTCCTAGTCATTCTGGGCTTTTGAAATCAACACCTTACGTTGCACTTGGCAGCTTATCAAAAGCCAGTGCAGCTCCTGGCGGACTGGTAATGACACATGCAAGGGGATAACCCACAATTGAGGGACAGATGGCAAATGCAAAGGGCTTATGAATTATGTATATATGCAGATTTGATTTTACACAGCTGTAGCATTCAAAGAAAGGTCTCACCCTGATCTCAGAAGCATTTATAGGACAATCATATGCATATTTACCCAGAAGTAAGTCACATTGTGTTCAGTGGGGCTCACTGCCAGTTAAGAATACACGGGATTGCAATTGTAATCATTTTTTAATGTTGTACACTGAGTTAATGTTGTGCCCTGAGATCTTTTGATAAAGGGAGGCATATAAATTTAATAATAATAATTTAAAAAAATGTCCGGATTTTTAAAAAAACAGTTACCATGGTAAAAACAAAACAAAACAAAACAAAACATCTTACCACATGTTGAACTCTTCCTCCCTTGATAACTTCTGGATCTATCTCAGGTAAGAAATGTTTGCTATACAGTGAACGGAAAATGACAAATATGTCAGTAACAGAATAAAATGCATCAGAATACTAAAGCTAGTATCCAATGAACTATTTCAATTGCTCCAAGGGCTTTGGTATACTCAGTGAGCTGTTTGCCTTATCTTTGACCAACAAATTTAAACCACACAACACACTGCTTCCTCCCAGTCTTCTCCCTATTTCAAAAGTGATTTCCTAGGCATGTCAAGTGGGGTCTTGTATGACAAACCTAAAGCTTGCTTGGGCACACATAAATATCACTATTAAACAATTTATGGAGAGCATTTTACAATTGTCTCATGGCAATGTATGAATACCATAAACACAGCTGAAAGTATTTTAATAGTATAACCCCCCCAACTAAATATCGGTTTGAGAACAATACAAAACAAACGCTTAAGGGAATTACTAGGTCCTGTCCTTAAGTGTACATATTTACCTGTTGGCAAGTTTCACTATAATCAATGGGACTTCTGGATAAACATATCTTTCCAACTCTACAACTCCATGATTCTATGATAGTTAGCATTGGGCTGTATGACACCTACTGCTTAGAAACTGCAGGTCGTCAAATGTTTAGCTAAATATCATTAAGAATTTTGGCTCTTATTTTCAGTGGGTTTAAGGAATATTATTTTTAACAATCTGGCTCAAACAGATAAGGAAGTCATTCATTGCCAGAAAGTTTAAGATAAAATTCTCAAAATGCAAGTTCTTTAATAGCTAGAAATTTATCGAATTTACTAGTGTATTGAAGGAGTATAAATTACACCTATCATTATCCAATCTTATTCAAGCAGTCTATTATATAGCAGTAATCTTGGTTTTGGTTAGATAAGTCTATCAGTTATTTGACCACATGGCTTCTGATTCCTTTCCAGTTGATGTTTTGCCATCAAGTTGAGGGTAAGTCATAATACCTAAATTATCCTAACAAATGCTATTAACATTAATGTGCCACACACATCTACAGAAGTGATTTAATATGATTTAGACTGCAACAGTATACCTACTTATCTGGAAATAAGCCCAATTGAACTCTATGGCTTACTTCTGAGTAGGCATCTATAGGAGTGTGTTGTTAGAAACAACTGAGATTGCATAAATGACATTTGACCTTAATTCTAAAAAACTCTTGTATTTATCTTCTCTAAATGCTTTTATGAAAATTAAAACCAGGGAATAAAATAAAAAACTAAATTGTAATATCTGGGCCCCTCTGCTAACTTACAAAGCTCAAGATAAGGATTAAAAATACTATAGTTCATGGTTTTATCATTTCACCTGGTTTTAAAAAAACATATTTTTCAAGGGTAAGTATGGTACTCCTGTATATAAAAAACCTCATCATTATATAAAATATTGTTTAAAAGGTTAAACTATGAACTTCTATCTTTTTCTGAAGACTATCATGAGAGCCTGGATAGCTCCATTGGTTGAAGAGCGGTGCTGATAACACCAAGGTTGCAGGTTTGATTCCTGTTTGGGACAGCTGCATATTCCTGCCTTGCAGGGGGTTGGACTAGATGATCCTCAGGGTCCCTTCCAACTCTACAATTCTGTGATTCTATGATTACTTGAGGATTGTTGCTTTAAATAATATTCAATACAAGTGAAATTCATTTCTAAGATGTTCTAATGTTGTCTGGCATCTCAGTCCTAAACATAATTAATTGAAATATACAATCTTGTTCCAAATAAGAATATTTTGGGGAGTATCTGTTGTCACTGACTTCCACTTGATATGGTTACCATTGCTGTTAGGTAAGCAGCTGCTCACAATGTTTAATTCAATTTGGCACGGGATTGGCAGATAGCGCCCTACAAAATCATGCCATTAATATCCCTACTGAGAAATCAATCGTGGCACTTTGTCCCTGGGTCCACTGCACCATTGATCTCAATACAAATAGCTTGCAAATAAGGGAAGGGAGGGATCTGTATAGAGCTATTATTTCAAATAAGTAGGATATAAATGATGTTGAATAACAATAAATCAAAATTGGGAGGCACAGAGAGCCTTGGACTGCCAGGCTGCCTATGGACAGCATGTTGCGTGACAGTAAGGTAAAGGGACCCCTGACCATTAGGTCAAGTCATGGGGTTGCGGCGCTCATCTTGTTTTACTGGCCGAGGGAGCCGGCGTACAGCTTCCGGGTCATGTGGCTAGCATGACTAAGCCACTTCTGGCGAACCAGAGCAGCACACGGTAAACGCCATTTACCTTCCTGCTAGAGTGGTACCTATTTATCTACTTGCACTTTGGCGTGTTTACGAACTGCTAGGCTGGCAGGAGCAGGGACCGAGCAACGGGAGCTCACCCCGTTGCGGGGATTCAAACCACCGACCTTCTGATCAGCAAGTCCTAGGCTCTGTGGTTTAACCCACAGCGCCACCCGCGTCCCAGTAGTGTTGCATTATAGTGCACACCTGCTTCCTGGGGCAGAATTGTGTGTGCTATGGGCTGATGCCAATTATGTGTACTAGTTCCTCTGATATTCCACCAATTGGATCTTGTCTCTTGCACTTTAGCATCTTTATTAATCATGACAACGTTTTTAAAAAGTCCACCTGTATGCTTTTTGTCATTCAGCTGTCCCCCCACTGACAAGAAAACTCTGAGGAGTGTTGTTTTTTTTCTGATCTGAGGGCAGATTTGCCTCGCATCTGCAGGTGCCATCTGCCTGACAGCCTTTATAACTATCCTCAGAGAAACTCTCTTTTGACTTCTGAAGAACCACCACTTACACAAAGATAAATCATTGAAGTTTAAAGGGAAGCATTTCCTCAAATGTGCAGACCTGAAATTTTGTTGTTATTTTTTTAAAAAATAACAATCAAAGCTTTGTATTATTTCTGCTCCCTTTTTCCTTATGTATTTCTGTAAGATATATTGTCCACTCTAGCCCATGCCTAGTTCAAAATACCATCTGCCATGTCTCAGCATATTGGTGCACTATTTAATGTACCTGGTTAGCTATTAAATTACAATGATTTTGAATGCATTCTGTAACTTGAAGAATACAAGAAAAATATATGTTTTCCTGCATTTTTCATAAATACAACTATTTGGGTTTCTGACAGAAAAAATATTCATGGATATTATGAAGTGATATTGCATGCTGGCATGTCATAGCAATTCACTAAGGTTTGTGGCAGAATGAGATGCAGAATTTATTAAATTAATTCTCAACGGGAGTGTGTTTGAAACTTGGCAATCTGGCCTTTGGCAAAAAAAAGCATATTTGTTTTAGGACAATTAAGATGGGTTTCATGTTACATGATGTGTTATTACAATCCAAAAATCTAATTTAAAGGCAATGATCTCACCATTTTTCATTTCTGGGGCTAGTTGCTTCAAAATCCCAAACCTGTGTATGAAGCCATTGGTATGTACGTTCTTTGTTCCTTTCCATCTTATCTGCGGAACCGTAAGCAAATGCTTCTTCCTTACCTGTGGATGAGAGATATTTTCAAGTTCTAACCTTTTGTTGTGACAAATGCCAAACAAACAGCACTGATTTACAGCAGAATGCTATGCAGGTTTATGTGGCAGTGAGACAAAATGGCCTCAACAAGACTTCTTAATAAATATTCATAGGATTGGGCAGATAAGGTGCTAAGTAAAAACAGAAAAAAGACAGAGCCTGTATTTTCTCCCTTACTTCCTTTCTCTGTACTTTGTAGCACACAGAATATTTGCAAAAAAAGGCTCCATAGAGAAACATAAAGTACAAAATGTGTCTGTGGAAGGTTAGTAGGGCTACTAGAAAAGACCAGTTAAGTAAACAGGTATGTAAATAAGCTTCTATAATTGCCTTCCCTTTGATTATATCCACACAAGATTTCCTCATAAAACATTCCAAAGGGCAGGTCCCCTCCTAGTGGGGGCACTAAATAGCTGGGGTTTAACTGTGTCTTCTGCCTAGGGATGGCAGAGGATTGCCATAACTCTCATGCTTGCCTGAAGTCCGAAATGGAAATGAAGCAAGCAAATATGAGTGGCATTACTTTTTTGCTGCTTTCTTTTTTAATCCACAAACATTACACAAATTATCACATTATTTTCTGCATAGTTTTTGTGTTTCCTTTTCACTGAAATGCCTTGAAGTTAATTGCACAATTAATTGCACGTAATTATGTTTGTTTCAGGCTTTCAGCCATAGTGGGTAGGAAGACCAATAACCCAGGTTTTAACAGAAGCCTAACTGTAACAGAACAGAAAGCTCTGATTGTGATGAACACTGAATGGGACAGGAATTGCTGCCTCCTTATATGCCCACTGTGCCATTTCTGAGTTTTTACTGGTGGTCAGCTTTATTCTAGGAGCCTTAGCTGGTTCCAAGGTGTGGTTAGCACTCAGACCTGGCCCTCTCCCTCTTCTTTCCAGTCGCCTTTGACTGGATCTAACTATCCAGGGGTCATTTACCTTTAACTTTTACCTACCAACCTTACTACTGATGAGCTTCTATCTCCTGATCCTGCCCTGTTCTCAAGGGATCCAGGACCTTACTCTTTTCTGCTTATTCCTATTTTATGTTTGTGCCCTTGAGTGACATCATTTCTACTTTTCATGTGCACCTGGGCCATGGCTAAATAAGATGGACTCTGCATTGGGGTGGCTTGGGATGTAGGATGTACATGATGGACTGCGGTGACAGAACTTATTTAGAAGGTGTTGAAATTGCAGTTCTATGAAGATGTACGGTAAAAGAGAAAAAAGGCGAGGGAGATGGGGATAGCTTCTGATATCAGAAACTAAATCCTGGTCAAACTCAGTACATGTACAAAAAAAAGATGAATCTGCAATATAGAAGGAACAGAAAGAAAAGAGCACCACATCCAAACATGTGTGAACCAAATACAGTACCAGACAGAAGTGAGGTAATCTCCTGTGCAGACATTGCTTCAGAAATGCAGCAGACACTCAAAAAGTTACTTTACCAACTCACAGCAGCTGGTAGAAGTCAACTTAGAAAGAAGAAATTCACATCGGAATATGTGATATTATATGTTAAAGATCTCTATACGTAGTGCAGACCTCTTGTTTCTGGCCTTTTCAGACCAGAAAAGCCTTCGTCTTCTGGCTGATTTTGTGATGTGTAGAAACACTCAGTGTAAGGTGGTGGAATGAACTTCCAAATTCATTCCTGATTTTTCATACTGTGAACTTGGAGCACTGAATGTAATCAAGTCATATCTCCAGCACCTGTTTCCTAAAATCTATGTATTATCAGGATGATCTGTTGGAGCATTTAATCCCTTGGGATGATTATGTGCCATGGGAAAGTACCCTTTGTGATCACTTTGATTCTCTAGAGCAAAAAGAAACCATATTCTCTGTACTTTAGCCTGCTCTTAATTTTTCTCTCTTTCTTGCCACCAGCAATAACATTTTCATAGCAATGCTTGTTCTGTCTCAAGACATTTTGGGAACGTTCCCAGTCATTTTGTTAACAGAGTAACAAAATACACGGACATTTAAGGCAGCAATCACATGCACTCTTACTTGGAATGAAGCTCTAGAATGACTTACTTCTGAGGAAACATACACCGGATTGGGTTGGATTTACTAAAGACAAAATGCTAGCAAGCTTAGAAGTATAATATACCCCATGTGCAGGCTTACATATTAGTCATCTTGTATTGTGTTCCCCACTTCCCCAGTGGTGAAAGGTTGCATAGGCAATGCTAAATGGGCTTGGTTTACTTTGGATGAGAGTGCTGAGACTTATTGTATCATTATGATGTTGACTTTATTTACAAATAATTATTTACAAATATAAAAATAAACCCTAAGAGGAGGCAAAGCTGATCTGGTAACCCACATCAGATTTGCAGAGATGCCAACTCACAGCGTGCTTTCCCCTTCTGTCTCAAGTTCACCCACACACACACACCCACACACACCCCTCTGCCCCCTCCTCTTAGTTGGTATCCCAATCAAATGTATTCCCAACTATCTCATAACCATTTGCTCCGATCAGCTGACTATTCTGGGGTATTAACCAGCAAATCTATCTAACTAAAGAATTGTTATTCAGGTAGGTAGCCGTGTTGGTCTGACACAGTCAAAATACATAAAAAAATAAAAAAAATTGTCCACTAGCCCCTTAGAGACCAACTAAGTTTGTTCTTGGTATAAGCTTTCATGTGCATGCACACTTCTTCAGAATCGTTAGTCAATAGTTGTCACAATATCAATTATTTAACAATATAGCTTCCTGCCATGCTGTATTTTAAACAGCTCATTGGTGATGACAGCCCTAAATGAATTTATCTAAACAGCCAAACCCTTGGAACATTTGCTTCAATTTAGTATTTTAAGATGTGACCATGACCACACTGTACAACAGATCATGTAGATTTCAAACCAAATCGTAATAGTCTTTCCATTTGATTTTACATCTCAAAAACTAAATGATCAAATGCTGTTCTTACAGTGACTCACCAGGAGACCTCTCCATCTGGCAGCTGGCCTTTGGAGCTTT